TGGCGGGCAGGCCCCGCGCCCGGGCGCTGCCTTACGCCGCTGCCCCGCGGCAGGGAGGAGAGGAGGCGGCAGAACTACGGCCGCCCTGTACGGACCCCCTTCTGCCCGGCTTGGTTCTGAGGTACCCGCTCCGCGTCGGGAAAACCGTTCCGGGAGGGTCTGCTGTCCCCTTGGTAGTGAGGGGCGGGGAGGGGGGTGGTGCATCGCCCCTCAGCCCGTCGGGGGCACACGCTGGGCCCGATGCCGCTCTGTGAGCGGGGTTCTGGTTATAAAGAGCTGTGGGGCTGCGTTTCGGATTCGTGCTTGCCAAAACTAGTGAAAACTGGGGCTTTAAAAAAGTTTTCCCTTTTGCAAGCCTTAATTAGGACCTATTTTGATGGGCGTTTAGCTTTTAATGGGAATCAATTGACTGACGTCGGAAACATAAGAGGTAAGTGAGTTGCTTAGAGGGCTGCCTTAAAAGTAGAGAAAGTTCTCTCCTGGGAACTTAAGGAAATGCAAAGAAAGCACCTCGCCAAAGTTTGAGGCTTCAAATACCTACAAAGGAACTTCTTGTTTATTTGTTAAAAAGCGTTGAGATATTTGCCAAATGATGTGGACTGACAAATGTTTTGGTTTTTATTTAGCATACTTGGTTTAGGCAACTCTTAAAGACTGTAATCCTGCTTGTGTAAATAAATTTACATGATTGCTTACTAATTTCTTCAGGCCCCTGAAGTCTGATGGTAAATTTTGCACTATATTGTTTGAGTTGAGCCAAGGCTTTATTTCAGAAGTCTTCAAAACTTAAGCAGATTGAGTGCTGGCTTTAAAAAGTAACTAAAACAGGGCTTTTGGAAGCTGATCTAATGTTAAGTTTGCTAAATCAAGATTTTCTGTGTGACATGGGGGTTTCTAATGATTGATAACCTTTTCCTTTGCTACAATATGTCCAGAGCAGCTTTTCCTTGAGCTTTGTCTGCAAACTTGTATTTTGGCCTACATATCTTCCAAGATTACACAAAGGAACTGTCAGGTGTAAAAAGAAAGTTTTGTGTTGACTTTGTCGTTCATATCTTTGACAACTTCATAGGACACAGTTTGTGCTTCGTTGGCCTGGACTTGGGGAAAAAAAAAATTACCAACAGCTTATGTATCCTCTTTGTTTTTCTTATACTGTTACTCCTTTGTTTCTTCTTATAAGTGCTGTTTGAAGGTACTGAGCTTAATCCATTTCCCTCTTTTATCTCTGTGATCTTCCCAGATTTGTTCCTGAAAGGATGGTCCCTTTCAGTTTCCCCCTGTCAAAGTGTGCGCTTTGGGACCCAATCCCTATGGGTGATGTCATTGGCTCACACATCACCTATTACAGGTATGAGTAACCTTTTTAAGCGACTAAAGGTTAAAATAAATTAAGAATTATATGATTCCAAGTCTCATTGTATCTTTTGAGTCTAGTGTACAACAAGACACAAAGGAAAAAGAAACAACTGGTGTGTTCATTATAAATATAGGGATTTTCATGGGAAAGATTTGAGAGTTTTCCTTCCTGTGGTATATCGCAGTCAAGTCGGTTGGAAGTGCCTCAGTCTAAAGTAACTTAGTTTCCTTCCCATATGGAAAGGTGTAAAAATAACTGCGTACTTCTAGTTTTCTTTAACATGTCTTTCCTTGTTTCTAAATATTTACAGAGAAAAAATATTTTGACAAACTGGGTACAGATAGCATGCTTCAAGTAAAACTTAAAACTAAGCATTTTTCTGGCTTCAGTATTCTGGATTAAGATGCCAAAAGTTCTGATTTTTTTTTGTTTAGAATGAGTCTGGAGGCAAATCTGTAGCACTTGTGAATTTCTAGGGCAGGATGTTCCAAACCTGACTTGTAAAACAAATGGAGAGTGAAAATTGATCCTTATTACTTAACTGGGTAATTCTTATATAGGTGTTATACAAATCTTACTGTAGTTATTAAAGCAAATATATGAGCAAGTTTAGCATACATGTGGATATTATGGTGGACAGCCCTTATATGCAGGTCAGAGGGGCCTCCACTTGTCCTTGCCACATAGTGCTCTTTGAGTTAAAATTAAAACCTCTGAGTTTTAACAAAGTTTAAACCAAATTACTTTTGTTTTGATGAAGGCACTTCACTTAGTTAATCTTGAGCAGGTAGGATGTGAGCCGTCGTCACAGTATTCACGTAAACCAGTAGCCTCACTTTCAACTTTGACCTCTTTCCAAGGCAGAAATATATAAGCTAACTCAAGCTAAAATACTGTTGATGTGATTGCTTCCCTAGATTCCAAACTTACTACCTTTTTTTACTAAATAGTGATTTTATAATTACTTAGTCTTTCTCCATACTTACATGTCTGTGTATTTGAGCCTAGTCTGCTGCTGCTTTAAGCATCCATACTAAATACTGTGCTAAAATTAGACAACACCATGTCAAAATTAGTTAAGCTATTTGGCCTATTCTACTCTTTAAATTTAGACTTTTCAGAGGTTCTGTGTTTTGGTCTCAGTGTTTCTAACTTTTTTTGCCTTCTATAAAAATAATTCAAATATTCTTGTTGAGATGATCATACAGAGCATTCTGTGGAGCTTCTCCAGTTAAAACAGGGCTCTCTTGAATATGAATAGTTGAGGTGTTGCACAGAATATGAGTAAAAATTATGCTGACATTGTATACAATGTTGTTAATTCTTATCTTTTTGTTGTTTAGGGCTTTGAGCTGTTCATGTATATTTTCTTTTTAAAGGACAAAAAAATGTGGAAGCTATTGGAATATAATAAATACTTTAAAAAAAAAGCATTAAAAATAATGTAGGTCCTAAACTTGCTTATTGTCTCTTTTTAGAAACCCAAAGTTATCTATGACGGAGAAAACTTTGCGACTTGCCTATCGCCATGCTAAGCAGAATGACAAGAAATTATTTTCCTGTTTTTTGCTTGGGACTCTTGCAGTAGATGAAGGTAACTTTAAACATCAGGTAGACAGACAATATTGGTTAGTTGAGTAAGTCATTATCAAGGGGCCTGATTTGTTGCTCTTGAACTCTAACTGTATTTATTTATTTTAAAGCTGGGGAAGGCATAATGCTAACAATAGACCGCTTTGATCCTGGTCGAGAAGTTGCTGGTGGATCGGGCAAAATTCCAACTGCGTCTCTTCCTGGAGACTTTTTGATTCCGTGTACCATTAGTGCCTGGGGACCTTCTTCAGAAAATATTATAGTGCACAGTGCTGAAGATATCAGCTTGGCTTTCAAGGTAGGCAGCTCTTGGCAACTCTTAAACAATAAACTGCAGGACTTTGGACTATGCATAGGGTTTGATTTCCAGGTGCCATCAATTGCAAACACAGCAAAGTTGTGGCTGAAGCTAGACTATTTAGTTGGTTGTCTGAAATGAGCTGCTCAAGTGTCGTTGAAAAGTGTACCACAAACAGTTAAAGTCAGTTAGCCTTCACAGGTGTTTAAGGATCACAGTCTTTAATTTTGGACTAAAATCATGCTGTCTGACCAGTTTTTTAGCTGGTGTGACCACCAAAGCCAGCACAGCAACAGTGATTGCAACAGACTTAAACAAGAAAAAACGGCTTTTTCTTTCAGATCTGTCATGAATGAGTTGCAGCATTTATGCAATTGTTGATAAAAAGTATCGCTAGGCAAGTGACTTGCAAGAAAGCCTGTAAAGCCTATGTAGGTTAACAGTTACAGCTCAAATGTCTGCCTGCTGCTTCTGTGCTCTGCTGTAGACATATAATCTAGTACATACACCTTCCGTTCCTGTTACTGATGTTGTGTGTATTTTATAATACAAATAATGCTTATTTCACATCTAAACTTTCTCAGTATGATGCATCCAGATGTTAAAATACAAATTTCTTGAATGCAAGTAAGAGAACTTTGACAGATCACCTTGAGCCTTCTAGTTGCTTGTTATTTTATTAATTTTTGTACAATTTAAGTAACCCCAGGTTTTTGAATACATCATAAAGCAATGCTAAGATATGCATAGCTTAATTTCAAGTGTATTTTACATTATTCATTATATTCACTACAGCTGTGAGCTTTGGAGGCCTGGTTTAACAGCTTTTTATACAGTGCCTACTGCAATAGTACCTATGATGAGTGATTTGAGTTCCTAGTGTAATACAGCTTGAATCATGTAGTCATATGAAGACAATTTTGTGTATTTAACTTTTTTCTCTTTTCCCTACTTCTAGGGTGTGCAGCACAGTCTGTGCAGCAAAGAATCACTGGATCTTTCTAAACTGCTCACTGTTAGAGCTCACATTGTTTTCACAGAAAACCTGGATAATCTGCATTTTAATTTCCACTGGGCTTCTATTACCGCAGCAAATATCTTGGAATACACCCCCGTGAAGTCTGTCCCAATTATTCCCACAGCTCTAGCAAGAAATTTGAACAGTCCTATGAATATCGCACAAGTTCAAGGAACTTACAAATGTGGGTGAGTGAAGGGTGATGCTAAAGCTATCAAACTTGCCTGGCAGTTCGTTGTGTTTCCTAAAGCAGGTAGGAAGGCAAGATGTCAACCAGTGCTTTGCTTTTTAGTAAAATAACTGGCATAAAAAATAACATAACTTCTTGGAATTGGGAAAATTTAAGATGTTATAAACAAGAATTAGGAAATGGGGTGGGGCAAAAATATTAACTGGTTCTTGCTTTTGACTTCAGTAGAAGAATCTTCCTACTGGGGCAGGGGGACAAACCTCTAGTTAACCTAGAAAATATAAAGAGCATCCAGCTTTTTAAACAATATCAGTGCTGTCTCTAGAATGAAAATCAGATTAATGTGAATCAAAGCTTTTTCTGTTAATAGTGCTTATAAGATTGTATTGGGAAAACATCCTTCTGGCTGATAGCTAGTTTAGTAGAATGAACTAAGGACAGAACAGAAAAATGATTGGAAGCAAATGAATGTCATTTTATTTGGACTTTGTGAATGCCTCTTGGAAAGTTACTCTTAAAATTTAACATGACTTGCAATTCTGGATTTGTTGTGATTACAATAATATTAAGCAAATATGGTCCTTGATAATTCTTTGATACACAGGGAATGAATGAAAAGCTGAGGAGTTGCTTTAAGTGTGGAGGAAGAATGGTTTTGATTTTTTTGGAACTTCTTTCTTACAGTATTTTCTAAACTTGTATTTGTCTCTTTGTGATTTTTTTTTTTTTTTCCCTGAAAGACTGACTTCCAAAATACTAGAAAACCCCCAATTTCTGCTTTGTTTCAGCTACCTTACTATGGACCAGACACGAAAATTGCTTTTGCTGCTCGAGTCTGATCCCAAGGCTTATGCGCTGCCATTAGTTGGAGTGTAAGTGTTTGGCTCTGTACACATTAATGCACCTATTTATTTGAGATGTATTTGAGGGATTCCTAGTGGAAACTTGGTAATGGAACTGTCTCTAATTGGGTATTTCTTCTTACTTTTAGTTGGCTGAGTGGAGTTACTCATGTCTGTAGTCCTCAAGTCTGGGCATGTTGTGTGCGATATTTATTCAGTTCTTCAATTCAAGAAAGGTAAGTCACTTTTATCTACAAAACATAGAAGCTGTTGACTGCCTAAGAAAGTATTCCACAGAAACGCATGACAACATGGGCTCTATTCAAAGATACTTGAGGGAATTCTGTGATTTTTATATAGAAGGTGGGGCTAACTGTTTTAATTGGTTTTGCTGGTTTTGACTTGTGCCTCACAATTTTTCTGTGACTGAAGTGTTAGAAGGCTGGGCTGATATCTCAAAGACAGAAGAGGGTAAACATTAATGACATTAAAGGTCACTGCATTTTAGTTTAAATATGGACAAGCAAGCAGGAAATGCTAGTTTAAACACTGGTGGGGTTTTGGTTTTGAATTTTTCTCGTGGGTGTTTTCTTTGACATAGGCTTTCTCCCTGATTGTATCTGACCAATATTGGTTTGCAGCTAATACTGTCTTATTATGACTTCCTGCTAAATATTCTGTTTTTATAGTTTTTGCATTCTGATTATTTCTTTTTTTCATTGTGATATTAGTAGATAATCTACATCATTTCCCTTTTAACGTTTGCTAAGTTCTATTTATTTGCAAGCTGGGAGGGAGTTCAGGTGTTTATAGTGGAAACTGCTCTTCAGGTAAATGAAACTTCAAAATACGCTGTATGCACAAGAATTTCTTTTGCTTGACCACACTTGTTTTTAAATTATGAAATAAAACCACATTTGGTGAACAGATGTGTCTGAATTACAGAATAGACTTTTTCCCTTAATGATTTAACTATGCCCAAATACAGATAACATGCCAATTAGATTATTAGATAGGCAAGTTAGATGCTTGAGTCTCATTAACTTTCACTGATTTCATCTTGGAAGTGGATTAGGCAGATTTGATGAACCATGCAAACAGAATTAACCTCTGCAGACTAACTGCTTCATCTGTACATCGTACACTTTTAACTCTTAAGTTGTAAGTATAATTTTAAAGTTGTATGTGAATTTTGTTTTTCAAGCATCTTGTTCCCACTGCTTGCTTTGTCACATATATTACTTCAAAAAAACCCACAACAAAACAACAACAAATAAACAACCCCCACCACCACTTCCAAGTGCATTACAAGTGCTATAAAAAGAAAAAGTGTTCAGAAAATAGTACTACCTTTTTCTGGAAATGCACGTTATTTTCATTATCCTTCATCTTTTGTGTTAAGTGTTGACTGTTGTTACTCACTGTTCTTAACCTGTAGAAAAAAACCTCAATATAAATTTTCTTCAGAAAAAATCTGTTTGGTAATGAGCATTTTTGGAATATTTAGGCATAAATGAAACACTAAGTGTATATAATACATCTTCAGTTGAATTATAAAAAAAAAATAAATCACACTATCATTTTTACAGATGTTTTCTTCTATGAGATGATTGAAGTGTTCCCAGAATTCATTTAAAGTATTGAGTGATCCTAAAGGTTTGAACTAGAAAGTAAACGAATTATTCCCATTTCTCTACTTTGCTTTGATTCTTGCATGTGGCATCAGTCATAAGTCCATCTGCTCAGTACCACGCAAAATGCAGTGATTTAGCAGTTTGCTAAACTGTGTGGTAGTTTGCTCAGTATGTCGAGAAACTAAAGGTCCGTCTTCCTGTTTTGTTGGGGTTTTTTTTTGTTTGTTTGTTTTTAAGATGTGTTTGGGTTTTTTTCTGTTCTAGGGTTTTTTCAGAATCTGGGCGTTTTCTTATTGTGCTTTATTCATTGACACACAAGGAGCCAGAATTTTATGAGTGTGTTCCATGCAGTGGACAGACTGAACTAGGGTTTCAGATCTTGACTTGCAATGAAACAGTACACCTCTTCAAAGTAAGTGGTTTGGTTTCCTACTGCATCAAGGTACTTTAAAGTACTTTTAGCATAAGTACTTAAAGGAAGAGTCACTATAATGTGAGCCAAATGAACTGCAGCGTTTGAAAATTATGTAGCTCTATAAAGCTACCTTTTTACAACTATTACTGTAAATTTAGAGCGTGTCTCTTAATTTGAGAGGTGACCTCCAAAGTCAGCAACTCCTCGCTTTTCTAATAGCATTAAAGAATCTGTCTCTTAAAACACAGTGTGCTGTGTTGGACTTGGTTAGTGCTCCTTCTTACTAGTGACCTTTTGGCTTTATGAGCAGAGATTCTGATTTCCTATAGCACTCGTTAATCTGGTATGCTATGTGTGTGCTAACGACTGCTATGGGTGATGCATATTGGTGCTTTCTGGAGAGCAAAGCTAGGTAACTTGGGCTTTGCTTCAAGTTGAGTGCAAAAGGGAGTTCAGCAGTTACTAATGTGCAGATCTCTCGCTGCGCTACAGTAACAAAGCAGGAAAAAATTTATCTTTGTGCAGAGTAACTCTTTGAAATAAGTTGATGATACAATGTCTGGGAGAGAACTCATAAGGTTTGAGGAAATTCTAGGAAATCTGAGTTCCTTATGTGTTTTCCTAGGCTTGTGCAGAACCTGAAGTTGAATTGTTAATCTGCTCAATATGGGCTTCTGGCAGAGAAGCAGCTAGTGTAATGTGTGTCCTGTGCTGTTCTGTTTCCAACTAAATTTCCCTGTTCAGGGCTGCTTTGCACCTTTAGCCTACGTACAGGTTGGCTTTCTGAAGGTGACGAGGCTCTTAGAAACAGAGGCTCACTTCTGTCGTCTCCAGAACGTGAGCAGCTGTGGTGCATGAAACAGTATAGGAGCAGTTGCTGTTTCCTATAGTGGTGAAGGCTTGTGGAAGAGTATCTAAGCAGTTACAGCAAGGAAGCATCTGCTCATGGCTATTATTAGGCCAACTACTTTAGAGTAGCAGGGGGAACAGCGTTAAACAGGAAGGGAAGTTGCTTGCCTCCATGTAGTGGTGAAAGAATTGAGAATTGAAAGTAGAAAACAAGCAGCACATAATTAGAGATAAATGTCCTTAAAATTATTTCTTTGGGAGTGGCACCTCAGTGATTAAATGTTGAAAGTTTCATGCTTCACAAATACAGAAAATTTTGTTCCAGAATGTTGAACCTTCAGACAAGAACCCTATCCACTTTGAGTTGAGTGCAGAAAACCAAAATGCAGAAACTGAGTTCTTCAGCAGAGTTTGCAAGAAACTTCCTATCAGAAGGTAAATCTTTCAGATGTCATTTATACACAAAAGTTAAATATTTCTTGAAGGTTTTTTTTTTTTTACTTCTGCTCTGCCAGGTGTCAGTTTAGCTGTGCATGCAGTGATCTTCTCACATTAAAATCTGTGTATGTACTTTTGTTTATTCCTGGAGTTAATATTCTTTGAGTAAGACAGTCAAGCTGACCATATTCCAAGAGCCCTTATTTGTAGTTCTACTCTTGATACTTGTGGTTGTAATTTATACAGTGGATGTTTCTAAAAAGGCTTCCTTACTGATGGAGCCTAGTTCACTCTATTAAGCTTTCTGTGAGATCCATCCTTTGAAGCAAATCTCTAATTGAAATCTACTTAAGTTGGTAAAAATTCCTTTTTCCATCTGACGTTCAGAGGTGTAAGATCTGGATAGGTTGAAACTTAGGGGTTTTTAAGAACCTGACGTATCCATCAAATATTTATCTGTGACTTTAAGATGGCCTTTATTTTCCTTTAAGCAATGTTACAGTCCTTACCATAACACTCCTTATTTTTCTAATATAAATCAGTGCTTTGCTGTTAGAATGTCACTTAAAAGGTGTGTATGTCTGAGCGTGTGGGGAGAGAGGGTGAGCATCTTTTTGCCCAAAACCAGTGTTTGTATTTTAACTGTTTGATCTTAGAGCTGTTTGCTGTGCGAACTCCATAGCTAACCAGGGAAGAGTTGTATAGCAACTGCTTCTTGAAAAAAGGATGCTGATACTGCACTGTAGATGGCACAGTGAAAAACATGAAGATTCATGTTACTGCTGCTAAATCTGACAAGCAAACATTCTTAGTTTGATTTATGTTGGTTTTAGTCCTTCCCAAGGCTGCTCACCCAGCAAGTTGTCAGCAAGCGATCACGACTCTGGTGTAGAAGATGAGGATTTATCCCCCAGACCAATTCCAAGTCCTCACCCAGTGAGTCAACAGGTAACTAAGTACATAGTTGTTCTATGCATCTCAGATGTGACACAGCAGCAAAACTGACTGTAAGGGGACTGGAGATTATAAAGCTTCTGTCTCAAAGTGCTAGCAGGGGAAAACAGAACTGAAGAAATGGACCGAGTCCCAACTCCTGCTGTAGTTAACTTTCTGGGATTATAGACACTTTAGTTCCTGTATATGCTAGGATTTGGGTACAGAGGTAGTACGTTCTGCTTTGGGAATCTGGGTA